CTCGCTGAGGCTACTCGAGCGGTCATCGGGGTGGTCGTCGAAAGCACCCAAGACCTCGGCAGCGCCGATGGGGTCTGTTGTGATCATCATGGTCGGTGCCGGAACGGCTGAGATTATCGTTGTAGCGGCTTTCGCAGGCCCAGGACGCGTGACTGGAGACAGCTCCTCGACCTCAGGCCGGCGGGTGGGGGTGGTCATGGGCGAAGGCCGGCGCTGCTCGTCCTTCTCCACTGTAGCTCGCAGGGCAGTATCCATACCGTGTGCCGCGTCGTCGTCTGTTCTATCGTCGTAGGATATCGTGGGCCACGGTCGTTACGCCCGTCGTGGTTCCATTGTGAGCGCTCATAGCACCAGATGCGCCCCGGCGAGAGGATGCGTCGACGCGCAGCCAATATGATCAGAGCCGTGTCTGGCCTCCTTATCAGAGGTCTGCGACGCACGAAGAGGCGTGGTTGAGGGTGGAGGGCGCTGGGCGCTGGGCGCGGAGAAGGGTCAAAATCGCTGCGGCTGCGCAGGCGCCGAGGGCAGTGTCTAGGATAGTCCGAGTGGCGGTAGGACCTCTCCCAGCTGCGAGAGGCACAGTAATATCTGGTGATAAGAGTATCGCTTTGTGGAGCATGTGAAGTGGGAGTGTGCAGCAAAGCGCAGCTCGCGGTTGCTCACCGCGCGGGAGGGCGAACCGCTGCCGGCGGTCATAGGCGATTGCACCGGAAGGCGGTCTGGAGTTCTGCCACGCTGCCATTGGCCCTTGTGCCAGGGCCCTTCAGGTCCCACTGAAACTTTCTGCTCGTGAATGCTGCTCGTTCGCAACATATACCACAGTCAATCACACCATGGCCAAATCAAAGGCCAGAGCAACAAAAGCAGCCAAGGTCGCGAAGCCATCAGCCGCAGCGCCTCAAGTAGCGTTCGACCCTGCACTGAGTTCGTTGTTTCGCAAGCAGTGTATGCAGCACTCGTCCGAACATGCGATCAAAGTAAACCGGCTAACTATTGTAAAGCTGGGCCCAGTGCAAGCGCGCCAAAGCAGCGATATGATCAAAAGTAGAGAAGCGCCCGAAGGCGCCTGTCGAGGAGTCAAGCGAGGAGGAGGATGAGGAGGAGGAGGATGATGCTGAGGACGATGCATCCAGGACCGAAGAGTCAGAGAGCAATGAAGAGTCTTCAGAAGATTCTGACAACGAGCCAGAGCTGGCTAAGCTGCGCGAAGCACTCTAGCCGGATGAGCACGACAAGCAAAGCAAAAAGTCGCAAGCGCCGGTGGGTCAGTAAGAGATTGAGGAAAAGTTTATGCGCATAAACTGGCGCGTGAGGAGGAGAAGGAGGAGGAGGAGAGGCAAAAAGAAGCGCAAGACAAAAGATACTAACTTGGTGGCAGCTGCGGACAGCGATGAGGACATGGAGGAGGCGTCCGAAGCGTCCGAAGCGTCCGAAGCTTGCGGGATGCTACAGAGGAAGACGCCGAGAAGATAGAGATCCCCACAGCACGAGTCTCTGGCTAAGACAGACGGCAAGTCCGAGGAGAGCTCGAGAAAGCTGCTCGTACAGTCTTCCTCAGTAACGTCTCGGTTGATTGCATCAACTCGAAGTCAGCAGAGAAGGCGCTGAAGAAGCACCTCGAATCCTTCATTGCAGACTTGGCCGATAACAAGCCTCCCCACAAGATCGAGTCGATCCGCTTCCGCTCCACAGCCTTCTCCAGCTCGCTACCCAAGCGTGCAGCTTTTGCGAAGAAGGAGATTATGGATGCAACCACCAAGTCCACAAACGCCTACGCCGTGTACACGACTCAGACCGCTGCCCGCGAAGCTGTCAAGCGCCTGAACGGCTCTGTTCTTCTCAACCGCCACCTGCACGTCGACTGGCTTGCCCATCCCAACAAGGTCGACAAACCGCCGCTGCGTCTTTGTCGGCAACCTTCCCTTTGTGGACGACGAGAGCAAGGGCGTCGAACCAGAGGGATGGCAAGAAGAAGAAGATCCCCGCAGACATCGAAGAGGGTCTCTGGCAACAGTTTGGCAAGTGCGGTAAGATCGAGAACGTGCGTGTCATCCGTGATGCGCAAACGCGTATTGGCAAGGGGTTCGCGTACGTGCAATTTACGGACGAGAACGGTGTCGAGGCTGCTCTTCAGCTCAACGAGAAGAAGTTCCCGCCCATGCTCCCCCGCGTTCTCCGCGTCACGCGATGCAGGGCAGAGAAGAAGAAGGACAAGCCTCGAGGCCCTGCGCCATCGTCGGAGCGAGCGGGAAAGAAGGGTGCGTACCAGAAGAAATTCTCCGCGGAGGAGAAGTCTCAGCAGGGGCGTGCGAAGGCCATGTTGGGCAAGGGAGGTGCTGCGAGGGCGAGGGAGGGCTTCATCTTCGAGGGTCACCGTGCGACCGAGGGGCAGGGCAAGAGCGGGCTCAAGTTCAAGGGTGCAAACAAGAACAAGAAGGGAGCGAACGGGAGAAAGAGCAGGAGTGCGGCGTGGAAGACGAGCGCGAAGAAATAAGCCGAGTAGCAGTAGCCGTAGCAGTAGAGAGACAGCGTGGTTGATGCTTTTCTTCGACGTCTTCACAAAGACAAATTCAATGTATACTCGCAAGCACGATCTCTCATACATGCAGCGACACGCTGCCAGCACTCAATATTCTCAATTGAACGCAAAGTGCCCGTTGACGCCAGATGCAATCTCCGAGGCGACAGATGGCTTGACTCTGGGTGTTGGGCCGCAAGGGCCGTGAAGGACGACGGCTGCTGGCCGGGGCGAATTGGCAGGGCAGCATGTTCTCGAAGCTTTGGAAGACGTAGAGGCCAGGATGCAGGGTGCAGCCGTCGTCTGTGGAACCAGGGAAAGCTGCAGCACGTTGACGTCGTAAAGGTGGAGCTAGCTGCTAGACGCAGGCCGGTGGCCAGTGCCGTGCGGCTCTGAGCTGAGGTCGATGCGACCGTCTCGCCGTCGTGGCTGCACTGCACGAGCGCTCTCCCCACACGTGTTTGGTGCTACTCGGCCACCTGGGCAAGCAATCGCCTTGATTCCGCTCGTGCACCCCCTCGCCAGGCGCTGCTCGACTGCCACCGGCCTCGGCCACTTGCCCCTGCCAGCCCCTCGAGGCACCACCTCCGTCTGCTCCGCCGCGCTCCAGCCAGCCATCCCTCGCCATCCGCACCCCCCAACACACTCAGACACACACACGGTGCGCCGCACCGCCCCGCGTCGCCATGGTGTTCCTCGGCATCTACCGCGCGCTCTACGACTACGTGCCTCAGAGCGACAATGAGATTGCGCTGACCGAGGGCGACCTGCTAATGGTCCTGGACAAGTCGTCCGACGACGACTGGTGGAAGGCCAAGAAGAAGAGCCACGACGAGGACGCCGAAGAGCCCGAGGGCCTGATCCCGAACAACTACATCGAGGAGGTATGTCGTCCGCCCGCCCGCCCGCAGACCCGCCATTGACCCAGCTTCTAGGCAGCCCCCGTGGCCCAGGCCAAGGCTCTCTACGACTATGCTCGCCAGACCGACGAAGAGCTGTCCTTCCAGGAAGACGCCATCCTCGACGTGTACGACGTCTCGGACCCCGACTGGTCGCTCGTCGGCTTCGGCGGCGACTACGGCTTCGCGCCTGCAAACTACACCGAGGTCATCAAGGGCGGGACCGTGCCAAAAGTCGCAGTCACGTCTCCAGGCCTGCCCCCACGCCGTCCTGTAGCTCCTGATTCAGACGACGGGCAGGACCCGCCCACGCCAGACAGCCCGCCGCAGTCGCGCCCGAGTCCCGCTGCTGTCATAGCTGACCTCATTCATAAGAAGTCCGAGCAGCAGGCCGTCCCGCGCGAGACAATCTCTCCACCAAACGACAAACCCGCTCGGAAACGTGTCCAGTTCACTCCCGAGGAATCCGATGAAGAGCCGCTGCCGCCTCGTATGCCCAACCGGGCCCACTCGCCGCAACGTGCTCCTCCACGCTCTCCGTCACCTGTTCGTCGCAGGCCAGACCGGACCAAAACCTTCGACGAGTACGATCCTTCGCCACGCGAGCGCGACAACTCGCCCAACACGCCCCTTTCAGGCTCCGGCTACCACTTGTACAACATCTATGAGTATCTCACTCAGCCTGGAAAGAACAAGAAGATGCCTGTCACGCTGGGTATCAACATCCCCCGGGGCATGATCATGATCGCACCTGAAAAGGCGCGTGATGGTGCACAGGAGGAATGGTCAGCGGATAAAATGGAGTACTACTCGCAGGAGGGCAAGCATATTTTCATGGAGCTGAAGCAGCCGAGCAAGAGTGTCGACTTCCACTGCGGAGCCAAGGACACTGCAACAGAGATCATGTCAGCTCTTGGAGAGCTGGCAGGTGCAGCCAAGGGCGCTGGCCTGCGCGAGGTGATTGCTGCTGCCTCTGGGCATTCGAATGTGCAGAAGAAGGGTGTCATGCTCTTCGACTTCATGGCTCAGGGCGACGACGAGGTCACTGTCGGTCTTGGTGACGAGATCCTGGTTGTCGACGATTCCGCCAGTGACGAGTGGTGGAAGGTCCGGCGGCTGAAGAATGGCAAGGAGGGTGTTGTCCCTGCTAACTATGTCGAAATAACAGAGACCTCTTCTATTCCGACCTCCTTAAATAACGCTCGATCTAGTCCGAACCCTGGCCGATCAGTCGTAGAGCAGAACAGGCGGGAGGAAGAGGAGAAGGCTCGTCAGGCCTCGAAGCGAGACAGGCCGAAGAGTGATGTGCGAAGTGATCAGGTAGGGCCCGGTCTGCCTTTACCCGCCCGTGGTTCTAGTCTTCTGCAAACAAGCTCTGACCATCGTCGTACTTCACAGAGATCAAGCACGCGTGATAGCTCCGCCAGAGACTCGAAATCGAAGTCCTCGTCGTCGAAATCCTCATCCAAACCAAGTAAGTGTATGCCTCGATACCATCGATGCGTGCTGACCACTCTTCAGATTCTTCAAAGCTACGAACGTGGACCGATCGATCCGGCTCATTCAAGGTTGAAGCTGAATTCCTGCTACTCAAAGAAGGCAAAATCCATTTGCACAAAGTCAATGGCGTCAAGATTGCTGTGCCAGTTACCAAGATGTCCGTGGAGGATTTGGAGTACATTGAGAACGTCACAGGCATCTCACTGGACGACGACAAGCCACTTTCGGAGATCAAAAGGAGAAGCACCGTTCGTACGAACGACAGAGCTGCTGCTTCATCGCCCGGAATATCGGTCCAGAAGAAGTCAGGCTATGACTGGTTTGACTTCTTCCTTAAGTGTGGTGTCAACCCTCAGATATGTGAGCGTTATGCTCAGGCTTTCGATAAGGATCAGATGGGCGAGGAGAATCTGCCTGATATTACCCCCGCGCTTCTCCGCACTCTGGGACTGAAAGAAGGCGATATTCTTCGCGTCACGAAACACCTAGACAGCCAGTTCAACCGCAACGCTGGTGAGGCCGGTGCAGACGGTGGTGCTGGAGGCTTGTTCTCTGGTCCTGGCGGCACACTGCGCAACAACACTCGAAAGGGACGCCCAGCCCCGCCTGTGGAGACGAACAATGATATCGACCCGAAGGCGTTCGAGCAGAAGTCCGACGACGCAGTCAAGAAGCCCGCTGATGCGACAAGGACGCCGTTGGCGTCTGCGCCTGTTCCTGACAAGAAGTCAGAGGGAGCTGATGGGTTTGACGATAACGCGTGGGATGTGAAGCCTGCGAGGTCGACTCCAGCAGCACCAGCAGCGTCACCGCCCCCTGCCCAGACAGCACTCCCTGCACCAAAACCTCCTGCTCTTACAGGCTCGATGAATGACCTTTCTCTTCTAGACATGCCCGCGCTCAAGCCTGAAGAGATGCCAAAGGCGCCAGAACCAACTCCCGCTCCTGCCCCTGCGCCAGCGCCAGCGCCAGCGCCGGCTCCTGCTCAACAACCACAACCTACAGGGGCCACTATGTCTCTGTTCGAGCAGGTCGCTGCTATCAAGGCCCTGACCCAGCCACAGAATGTGGGACCACCAAGACTGAGGCCGCAAGCACCTCAGCAGTCAGGGCCTGGTGGTCTCATTGCACCTCCACCCCAGCGAGCATCCTCAGCACCGCAGAACCCGCAGCAGAACAGCGCCTTTGGCCCTCCGCCAACCCTCATGCCCCAGCTTACAGGCTTCCAGGGCAACCCCAACATGCCCCAAATGGGCCCTCCCGGGCAAGGTATGATGAACATGCAACCGCAAATGACTGGCTTCCCGCAGCAGAACCCTGGCTACAATGGCTTCCAGCAGAATGGAATCATGCCACAACCGACCGGATTTCAACAGCCGCAGAACGGCTATGCCCAGTTCCAGCAGCCACAGCCTACTGGCTTCCAGCAGCCAATGCAGACTGGATTTGGTCAGCAAGGCTTCCAGCAAGGCTTCGGCAATGGCAGCCCATTCGCAGACCCACCCCGGGCACCTTTCCAGCCTCAGCCAACAGGCTACAACAACTTCCAGCCGTCCCCACTTAATCCTCAGGCTACAGGCATCAACCAGTTCCTCCCACCTGCTCTTCAGCCTCAGCCCACCGGCTTTGGACAAAGCCCACCTCCTATGCCGCCAATGCCGCCAATGCCGCCTATGCCCATGGCACAGCCGTTGATTCCGCAGAAGACTGGTCCCGCTCCTCCTGTCCGTTTCGGAACACAGCAGGCAAAGAAGCTGACGCCGCAGCCAACAGGCAAGGCCAGTCTTGCCAATGCTAGTAAGTCATCTGTATCGTGTGTCCGCCACGAGTCTAACATCTCACCCAGCTCCCCAAAACCCATTCGGCTTCTAGGCGGTCGCGCCAAACACCATCATTCACCTGTGATTCACACGCAGACTCCGGATCGCTGGGTGTTTTTACTGCACATACGCATGTACATAATTCCATCGTGATCTCCTTGTACCCGGAAGAAACGGTGGCGCCGGATCACATCTTATTGTTTTATCTAAAGCCGCATTCGCTCTGCGCTCGCGTTTCTCGTCGTGCCGTTGCCGTTGGTAGAATTGTTGTAATTTGCATTCCGGCCATAGGCTGTTCTGCGGCTGAGCGCGTTAGATGGAACTCGATAGCATAGCGCTGAGCCACAGTATCGCGCGTAATCGGACCGCCTTGCCAAAAATCACGCAGTCACTTCTTTCGCGTGCGGGCTTTTTTGATGACTTCTGGTGACCAGCGATGTAGCTGCTGTCAGCGCAGATCGTGAACCGTGTGCGGGTCAGCACTGTGACAGCTGTCAGACAGCCCGGCGTCCAGTGTCCTTCACCCCTGCGTCACCAAGCTTTCGCCAAGCAGAAGCTTAGCAGCACATCAGCACATCGGTGGAGTCGCAGTGGCTGAAGCGCGCCCCGATTCCTAGCTGACGAAGCGTCTGCGCCGCAAATGTCTAGTCACTCCATGCGCGCTTTCCCTGCGTCTCAGCACGCCGCACCCCGGGACTGGCGTCCTGGGTGGCATCCTGGAGCGCTATCGGTGCTTCCTCGCACGAGCGGCGCAGAATTTGAAAAGCCACCCCTGGCGCAGCGCGCGCTGACGAATCCCAAGTCAGCCGGACTTTTGGCGCCAATTGCAAAGCGGCATCGCGCAAGGATGCAGCTGTGGCTAATGCAAAGTGACCAGTCCTCACATGCAGAGCTAGATGATGCGTTCTCCGCTCCAAGCTGGTCGCAGCTGAGCGATCGCCCTTAAAGCCGCGCGCGCGCTCCTGATCCACCTGCCTCCTAAGCTCCTTCTAACCTCACCTCTCGCTTTGCAGCTCTTTGTCGTCCCATCGCTTGCAAACCGCCCTCGACTCACGTCTCACAACTCGCGGCTCGTGCACCCCCTTAAGCTTTCGCCCAGCAACTACAAAGCTTGGCCCCGGACCTCTCCCCGCATCCACCACCCGCAGCGACCGCCAAACGCAGCGCAGCATCCTCGCGTTGCAAAATCTCTCCCAACTCCAGCGAAACCTTGAATCCGCACCAACCAAACAACCCCCCACCACCACCGCCGCCACAATGTCCGCCCAAGGCTACTACAACAACCAACAACAACCCCAGTACCCGCAGCAATCCTACGGGCCGCCCCAAGGGTACGTCTCCCCCCGCAAACCCAACACAACAACACGCTAACACGCCCAGCTACCCCCCGCAGCAAGGCTACCAGCAAGGCCCCCCGCAAATGCAGTACCAGCAGCCCATGTACCAGCAGCCGCCGCCGCAGCAGAAAGCGCCCAAGAAGGACCGCGGCTGCCTGATGAGCTGTCTGGCGGTGCTGTGCTGTTGTTTTGTGTGCGAGGAGGGGTGTGAGTGCTGTGTTGACTGCTGCGAGTGTGCTGAGGACTGTTGTTGAGCGGGGTGCGGCGCGGTGTGGAGATCTGGTGAGCGTGAATGGTTCATGGCGAGGGGGCTGGTTGGGGAAGGTACAGGGGCGCGAATATCCAGACACGAGTTGTCTTTTCTTTGTGATAATTTATTTGGGTTATCCGGGTTTCTTTGGGTTCAATACATTTTCTTCTCTGAGCGTGCTTGGTCCATCTCGAGTCGCGTTGAGTGCCTACTTCGATCTCGCTGTTGGGTTTCCCCGCTCTTGCTGGCTTGCAGCCTGTCTCTTGTCATGCAGAGGTCGCAGACTATGAGTACTGCTGTTCTGCAGGTTTACGTAGTGTAGCTGGGTACCTGGCGACTCCTGTGCCATTCTGCATCTCTGCTATGATACTCTGTGTGGCCTGTCGAGACTACACATCTGTTCACGATGCCACGGAGTTTCTAGGTGCAAATGTGCAAGGTGCTGCAGTTTGGTAAATGCGGGAAGGCGCTACGTCTTGCACTCTCTGAAATACTACACAGTTCTGGCCAATTGCAAAGGGCCCTGAAACGTCTTCCGCGCGTTTGCTCACCGTCTCTGATCTTCGCTGAGACTAGTAGGAGCATATATATTACGTCTGAGACGATCCAAAAACGAGGTAGACCCATGGGTTGGTTTTGAGGTTGTGTTGAATTCAAGATGTGCCCGTTGAGTGCCCTGGTGCTGGATCTCATCATTCATCGACGCATCCTTTCGACACTCGTGGACTTGGACTCCTCAAGATACCCATGTATTACCTTGCCCTACCTCTGAAAAGATGTAGAAAGACAGCTCGCTGGTTTTTGACGCTTACGGGGAGTAAGTGCCGGTGCGTCTTCGATTGAGATGCTCGAGACCACTGGCAGAGGATCCTCTGGGAAATGCATATGTTTCAACAACGACTCCCCGTACGTGCTCGCCTGGTGGTATTTGGTAGTGTACCTGCATTGTGCGGGCGAGATTGTTACTTACGGCCATGTGACATGTCCCTTATCCGTCATCCACCACGGTACAACATCACCGAAGAATGTTGTTCCAAGTGGGTCACAGGCATCGAAAAGGCCGCCGAGGTCAGAAAATGGTGACAAGGGTGCCAAACAAAAGACTGCAGCGGACAAGCTCGACAGCGTACTCAGAGTAGCGGCAGTGGTAGTGCCCGGCTGCTCGATCTGCTTGCGCAGCACTTGGTAGTCTTGTGCTATCGTGTGTTGCGTTCGCGCATTGAGAGGTGGGTTGCGTTATAGGTACCCGTTGCTCATGCCCTTCGACACCCTACGCGGTCCTTGATGCTACGACTTCATATGATGTTCAGCTCAAAGAGCGCCACAACGCTGCTGCGCAGCCACTCACATATTGATCTTGTCGGTTAGTTAGAACGCCTTGTAGCTTACCAGTCCGAGCTCCGATTAAACACTCATATCTGCAAGTCAAACGGCCAGATCTCTTTCAGGTCGTCTTCGCTTTTGATTGGCTCGTCATCGTCCAGCTGCTCGTTTACTAACACTTCCTGCAAAATTCCTGCATACGTTTCCTTGTGCGCCAGCTTTGTCGCTTCCCATTGTTCGGAGGGAACCCAGCCGTCAGGCGCAGTATTAAGCAATCCTGATAGGCTGTGCTTCAGCTGCTGGGCTGCTTCAAAGCGCTTGTAGTCCTGCTGATGGTGTACGAGTTCGTTAGGACAGGGTAGAGGAAACGGACATGATCCCCCAAGACCAAGCTCTTTCCAGTGAAGCGATGTTTGAATGAGTTCCTCGCGGAAAGCAACGGCCCCATCTTCCCACGTTCGATAGCAATAGCGAAATGGCCGGAAGAAGGCTTCGTCCATTGATCTGGCAGTTGCTAGCTTTGGGGCCAGCAATGAAACACAGGCGTTGAACGCTTGGGCACACGCCTCGCTCTTAGGCTCTATGCGATCTTCGTTTACACGATCGGGAATGGGCTGCGCGAAGTCCGGTACTTCGTCTGCGTACCAGAACGCTGGTTCGATGCTAGTCGATTGCCAATCAATTATAGCTGTGACAACGGAGGGATCTTCTTCTGAGACGAAGATGTTCCGTTTGTGCAGATCGGGATGGAACATTACCGGAACAGCTGCCTTTCGAACACGATAATCTGTTGCCATTTTGCTTAGTACTGCGCGACTGTGTTCGAGTAGTCGACGATGTGTTTCGACGGACCCACGGTAGCGTGGCCGTTGTGGAGCCGCGTCGGCTGGGGGAAGTTTGGCAATCCCAGTGTCCACGAGACCGTCACAATACGCAACAAGGTCAAGCCCTGAAGATTGCCTTTAGTGTTCTGCTCACATTGAGGCCATGGATCGACTCACAGGGGCCTTGGTTGGAATCAACATTGTGAGAGTACCTGGACTGTCCAACGTGGTTGTCCCAAAACCGAGCTCCACAATGAGGGCCAATGGTAAATTCCTGGTCGAGTGGTAGTAGCTTTGAAGCGGCGATGTATGAGATATCCGCGAAGCATAAGCTGCCGTAAGCCTGGAAGTCGAGGTCGACAACCTCTTCTAATTTTTGAATTATCGCTTGTATACACTGGATTTGATCGTGTAAGCTCATCGTTGGCCATTTTTCGTGTAGCGAAATCCCTGGCGCATGTTCCATAATGATATACTCGCTACCGATGGTATTAGAAGCGTCGTCGCTCCACTCTAGTATCTTCGGGATAGGGATGCTGGTCTTTCTTTGTACTACAGAAGGCAAGCAGTTAGTCACTCAGCCACCCTTTCTGAACTATCTTAGATCAGGACCTACAGAACTGGATTGTTGCGACTTCAGAATTGGTAGTCAGCTGTCGCGGTCCTGCCACTAGAAAGGGCAGTCTTGCGACGAGACGTTTAGCGTTATCTGTGTGAAATATAAACACCCGATTAAAGCCTCCTTCCTTCTTGCTATACGAAGTAACAGATCTGGCACCAGGACAGAGCGCGATGATCCTGCGACGTAGTGCGTCGAAATCAAACTGTACATGGCGTGCATCTCTCTCTAGCGCGTCCTGACGAAGCCATCTTCCACCTGTATAGTTGAAAAGGTCAATGCCTGCGGTTGCAATAACGGTTAGAATCTTTACCCAGAAGAAGAGAGATGGGTGGATCTCTTACTTTCACCGGCCGGCCTCATGATCCGCCTGGCAGAGGAGAACGTCGCACAAGAATCTTTCAAGATTGAAAAACGCGTCGAGCCAAGAGCGTCTCCGCGTGGTAAAAGCACAGTGATCCTGCTTGGAGCTATGTGCCGCGTGCGAGGAAGGCATGACATGAAGTGAGGTGCCTTGTTTAAGAACATGCGATTCATAGGACCTCTCACGCTGAAGCCGAGAAGAGGTGTAACGACTGAGATGATTGACTGCAAGGAAGCCGTGTTGCTCTCCTGTTGACAAACACACGCAAATCCTGGACAAGCAGCCTTTCGACAGCGAGCTGAGACGCTGTCAAGCTGCACAGGTAGCCAGCTTAGTCAGCACTGTTAGCCACGATCTTGGACCGTGCGAGCGGGCTCTTCTGTGATTCGATCCCCTGCTTTCCACGCGCCGTCTTAGAACGTCCACCTCAGAACTAGAACTGACGTTACCACGCTCTTTCTCCCGTCTCCCACTTCCCATGTGTGCGATATTTCATGCTCTGGCTGTTATCGTAGGTGGGCTCTAGACTTTGCCGAAACCACTGCTACTTTACGAAGAAGATGGTTTTTGATGAGGGCTGATTACCTATGTCTCTCATAACTGCGTCCTGCTTTTGGGCCAGTTCCTCAGATTTGAGGACTGCGTGATTTTACGTGCCCGAATGACGATGCCCGTCTCCACTGGGCACGTTAAAGCTGAAGTTCATTTCATCTAACACAACTTATAATTGTGTGCATGCGCGGCATGCAAGTGCGCGGCATGCAAGCGCGCGGCTTCGAGCCAAGAAGTGTAGACTGCTGTGTTAGCATTCTATCGTCAGGTCTATATCGGTTGTTGTGTGCAATGTCGAGGTGTATACAGATCTTTCTACTTCACTCTACTTCACTAACCAAGTCCAGGGAAGACACCACGGAGGGCGTCAAGAACCACCACAAGAAACGTGAGACCGAAATACAACCCCAGGGATATCCATGTCATGTGTACTGTGAAAACTGAAGCCGTGATGCTGCAGCCCGGAGACCCCGCCATGCGCTACACTTGCACGAACTCCTCCTCTGGGCTCAAGAGGTCTTCGTCCCTCTCCGGACGCTCGCCTGTCTCGCTGCCCAGGTTCTCGTCGTCCTCCTCCTCCTGCTCACCCGGCAGCCCCCTGTCAGCGCGTACGAGTCCATTCGCGTCGACACGCTCTCCGAAATCCCACTCAAAACCCTCCTCCTCACCCTCGGCACCCACCACCTCCCCCTCCCCGCCAGCGCACAGACCCCCCTCCAGCAGCGCCTTCTCGCGCTCCAGCACGCACACACGGGCATACAGCTCCTCCGCGTCGTCGCGCAAGACCGCGGTCTCGCGCTCGTGGCGTGCACGCAGGGCATCGGTGTCGGCGCTGAGCCTGCGGTAGTCGGTGTGCAGGATGTCGTGCATGCGGCGCAGGCCCTCGGCCTGGTCGCGGAGCGCGGTGGTCTCGATGATCAGGCCATCTTTCGCGGCCTCCAGCGCATCGTTCGCAGCCGCGAGTTCTCCGTTCGCAGCAGCGAGGTCCCCCTTCTCGGACTCTAGGTCTGCGATCCGGGCGCCCTGCTCAGCGGCCTGTGTCGCGTGCGTGCGCTGCGCCGTGTACAGCTCGAGCTGCGACGCCAGGGCGTCGCACTCCAGCGTGCGGACGGCGGTGCGCAGTGCGGTGTGTGCGGATTCTTGGGTATGGATTTGGTGGGACAGGGAGGCGTTGGTTGTCTTCAGCTCCTCGTTGGCGGTCTTCAGCTCCTCGTTGGCGGTCTGCAGGTCTGCATTGGCGGTCCTGAGCTCCTCACGCGCAGCCCCGAGGCCCTCATGCACCGCCTCCAGCTCCTCGTACGCGGCCACCAGCTGCCCACACGCGTCCTCCCACCGCCCGTTAACCCCCTTCAGCTCCCCAACCGCCCTCTTTAGCCCCTCGCCCGCGGCCCGCAGCACCGCGCTCCCGCGCTCTGCTTCCTCGAGACGCGCCCGCAGGGTTTCGTTGTCGAGTAGTAGCTCGGTATTCGACGCACCCAGTCCCTTGCCACGGCGCTCGAGCTCGGCGATACGGTGCTCGAGGCGCGCTTCACGCGCTTCACGCAGCGAGGAGGTGGAGGTAGAAATGGACGTCGAGGTGGTGGTGGTGGGTCGCACTGCAGCGGGACTAGGTGTCGGGGCGGAGTGGTTCGTCCAGAGAGTTGCGGTGGCGAGGAAGAGGAGGAGGAGGGCGAGGTAGGTTATTATGGGGGAAAGGGGGGCGGGGCAGGGTGTTGTGGGTGGGGTGGACGTAGACATGGTGGGTGGATACGAGTGGGTATGCGTGGGTGGTGATGGGTGCTTGTGAGCTTATTTCTTCTCGTGCCGTCTTGCGAGGGAAGTGCGTTGGAGTCTTGAGATGTAGGAACTTGAGTGAAAGGATGCAGGACTGAGACCGTGTGGAGACGGCGAGAAAAACAGAATCAGAGACGCTTATAACTCGATATATGCAGGGAGGGTCCAATATCTCAATACTTAGTACCTGAATACCCCTCCACCAACAGGAACCAGCAGCGCTCGCTGCATCTCGCAAACAGCGGTTCCGATTTTTCTTCTTCCTTTCTTTCTACCTCCGTACCAGGGATCCTCCGCGGACCCTGCATGGACAACCGCTCTACTCGTCGAGCTGGACATAGTTGGCAGGGAACAGGCCAGACGCGCCGTTGTAGTTGCCGAGCCACCAGTCCTCGTCGGGGAATTCCTGCTAGAGTTAGAAATAGTTATAATGTACACGCAACAACTTACGACGCCTGTGATGGTTGCGCCCTCGGGGAAGCTGAGCTCGTTGTCTTCGGCGGCTTCGTAGTCGTAGACGGCGGTCGCGGTGGGGCCTGCAGCGGCGGGAGCGGCGGCGGGAGCGGCGGGAGCGGGCTCAGGGTCCTGGGGCGCAGAGGGGTGCGAGGGCAGGGGAGGGGGTGCGGCAGCGTCGTCGTCGCCCTCGACGAGCTCAACGTAGTTGGCGGGGAACAGGCCGCGCTCGCCCTGGGCGTTGGTGCCCATCCACCAATCGTCGTCGACCATGTCGATGTCGGTCACGTGGTCGCCCTCGCGGAGCTCGACCTCGTTGTCTTCGGCGCGCTCGTAGTCGTAGACGATGACGGCGCGCTTGCCAGAGCCGCCAGCTCCAGCACCAGCGCCCGTGTCGTCGTCGTCGTCGTGAGCGAGAGCAGCGCCAGCGGCAGCGCCGACCACTGCTGCAGCGCCGAAAGTGCCGGCTGCAACAGCGACGCCAGCACTGCGCGCAGGGTCCTTTGCCTCGACTCGGGGCTCGGGCGAGAGGTCGCGGGCCTGCGAGGCGGCCTGTGCAAGCGAGCGGTTGGGCATCGCAGGAGGCTGCTCCTCGGCCGGCGAGAGCTCGGGCTCCCTTCCGCGTGCTACAGGCATAGCAATGCGTACGGGAGAGCCTGAAGGCTCGGGAGACGGGCTGCGTGGCTGACGAGGCGGCGACGGGAGGCGCTGGGTTTGCGTTGCCGGCACGTCGTCGTCATCAGACTCGGGTTCCTTGGGACGGCTGGGCAGACCGGGCATGGGGACACCGCGACCAGCGTTCGGCTTGCTCGAGTTGTCCAGGGCGGGAGCTCCCATAGGCGCGCCGCCAGCAAAACGGTCCTTGAGCGAGCCAACACCAGCGGGCGGCGAAGAGGGCTCCTCCTGTTCTGGGGCATCGCCGGTCCGCTGTTCGCTGAGGTTGCTGGCCGACTGGCCGGTGCGGGTGGTCTGGACAGCCGCCCAGGACTTGCCCGTGTAGCCGCTCTTCCAGCCGCCGCCGCCGCTCTGCTGGGCCTCGATGGGCGCAGCGGGTGCGTTGACCGACTCGCCACGGGCGGCCTTCTTCTCTGCCCATATCTGAGCCGGGGTCTTGCCCCCCTCGTCTGCAAAGGTCTTGCTCGCAGTGCCAACTGGCGCGGAGGTGGCCGGCTTCGGGGCGGTGAAGCCGCCGGGAGCAGGGGCCTTGGTGCCGGTGAAGGCGCTCGCGCCTGCGAACTTGTTGGCGACCTTGGGCTTGGGCAGGCTGGTGAGACGCTCGGGCTGGTTGCCGAAGGCGGCGGAGCGCTCGGCCAGCGACTTGGGGCCGCTCCTCTTCGTCGTCGTTGGATGCGCCGGTTGCTGCTGGCGAGCCCGACGGCGCACCGGCGGCCTTTGCACGGATAGCGGCAATGTCGACCTTTCCGATTGGCTCGTATGCGCCCTTGACCACGGTGGGCCGGTCGTCCTTCTGCTCCTTCGCCTGGGCCCTGATGGCGGCGATGTCGACCTTGCCAATGGCTGATAGGCGCCCCTGACGACTTCTGGGCGGTCGTTTCTGCGAGCGGGTGGTGTCGTCCCTGCCCTTGGACAGCTCGGCCATGTTGACCTTTGTAGGCTTGTAGGCGGTGCCGACCTTCTCGAGCTGCGAGCGCGTGACCTCTGGCGCATCGGCGCCCCAGCCATCAGCGTCCTCGTCGCCCCGCGGCGCAGGGGCTCGTGCGCGGCCGAGCGGGTTTGAAGGCGGAGGCTCCGCCCCCGACGTTTGTAGGGGTGAAGACGGGCTTTCTTCGCGGCGACAGGCGGCGGCCCGCTCGACGAGGGGATGTTGGCGCCGCCGGAGTACTTGGCGCCGGAGGCATCCGACACCTTCTGGATGATGCGCTCGGGGGTGAGGTCTGCGTCGGAGCGGGCGGTGACCTGGACGTGGTAGCCCTGCGGGGGTTAGCGCGACCATGAGACGGTGACGACGGCACGTACGTGGAGCAGCTTGGAGACAACGCCGAGGGTGGCTGCCAAAGTAGCCCTTGGTGCGCTCGGGCACGCCTTCGCCGCACTGGTCTTGGTCAGCAGAGGCGCGCAGAGAGCATGGACCATTCGTACCCAGGCAATCAGCACGTTCTTAGGCAGCGACGAGTTGGGGTCCTTGACCTTGACAAAGGCGAACTGGATGCGGCCGTCGGAGAACTCGTCGATCAGGTCGAGCAGCTCTCCCTCTGCGCAGGTCAGCAGGCGGGCCGGAACTCAATTGGGCGCAATGGGCGGCGTACCTCCGGTGCTCTGGACCTTCAGCACGCTCTCCTTGCCGCCGTCGTGCTGGAAGGCGCTGACGAGCGGGGCGGTGACGGCGAAGACGGCCCATTGCCCGTAGGTGGGCGACTGGGCCTGCGAGCCCGACGGCGGCGGGGTGTTGACGACGTTCTGGTAGCTGCGGGTGATGTTGGGCCCGTTGGTCGACGTGTTGAGCGAGGCCATGGCGATGGCGGCGGCGGCGGCGGGCGGCGGGGTGGGCGGAGCGGCGGGTGAGAGGAGCGAGGAGCGAATGGGGCGGGTGAGGCAGAGAGCAGCGTGGGAGGCTCTCTGTGTGCGCGGTGGGTGTGTGACGAGCGCGGTGTGGGCTGCTCGTATAGGAAGCGTATGGCGGGCGGGCGGTCCTCTGTACGCGCACTGGGCGACGTAGGTACAGCGCCCGCCGCCAAGCCTTCGTCATGGGCCCAGCGCGGCTGACGTGCCGGCCCCAGCGTGTCCCAGCGTGTCCCAGCTTGTCAGGCCGCCGCTGGGCTGCGCGCCTCACTGCGCCCTGATAGGCCGAGCGCCGCGAGCCTCGTCTGCACGCTGCTCGCCGGCCACCAGCTCGCCGCCGCTCCCTCCTCACCCTCGCCCAGCACGCGCTGCCGTCTCTGGCCGCCTCCGTCGCCATAAGCACGCCGTCCGCTACCCGCTGCCCGTTGCCGCCGCCCCGTGCCCGTCTGCACCGCGACCCCGGTCGTCGCCCGCCACCACACCACCACATGTGTGCAGCCTGCCGCGCATCGTCGGTGGAGCTCCTGTGAGCTTCGCCACTGTCGCTGCCACTGCTGCTGCCATGTTCGAGCGCGAGTCGAGCGCCGCGTCCTCGGTCGACTTCTACGACGCCGACGCCCTGGCCGCCGCCCGCATGCACCGCCATGCCTCGCCCGCAAAGCGCAGCCTGGACACGGCCGTCACTGCTGCCGACAAGAAGCGCCGTCTGGACGCGGGCCCGCCTGCGGACAAGAAGCGCAGGCTGGACTCGGTCTCGACGGCCGTCCCCGCGCCTGTCACTCCCCAGCTGCGGCCCAGCGCCGGCCTGCCACCCGCTGTGTGGCAGCACGTCTTTTCCTTTTGTTCTCTTGCAGACCTCGGTCGGTTGATCCAAGTCAATCGACCTTTTCATTCTTATCTCACAGACGTGTCTAACGTCCCCCTGTCCAAACCAGAGCATGGTTGTCTGCCTCTCCTAAAGTCTGAAGCGCTGTGGGCCTCTGCCCGCAATGCCTACCACTCCAGTGCCCCCAAGCCCCTCCCGGGCCGTACCGAGCTGCAAATGTGGCAGCTTGTATGGTCCAGGGCCTGTCAGTTTTGTAGCAAGCTCGGCGCGAGCCCTTCCAGTGACAAGATGTGGCAGCAGGGCCCAGGCGACACCATGGTCCGCACCGTGTGGCCCTTCGCCATCCGAGCCTGCGGCCCTTGTCTGATGCAGCAATGCCAGACAGTGAGTTGTAGGCGCACCCTTCCCCCCAGCTGCTGACTTTTGCAGGACGCGAGCCTGCTCTTCTCCTCCGCCTCCGCACTCCGCCCCGCACTTCCCTTCGCTCTCATCACGAGCGACCACCACTACATTCCCGCCCACGCTCTGCAGACCGCCGCCACCCCTGCGAGCGTCGAGATTGCTAAATACTAACTACCGACAGCACGTCGACGACATCTCCCAGGAGCTCAAGGACGCTCTCGCTCTCGGACCCGCTGCCGCTGAAGAGTGGTACAAGGGCCTTGAAGCACGAGGCAAGCAGCGCCTCAAGGCAGCCGAGGCCTGGGAGCGCTGGGCCGTCAAGTACAAACACGCAAAGCGTGCGCCCTCGCCACCCGCCGCACCCAAGCCCTCTAGATCCCCAAAGCGCCACACTGCCTCCCCCGTGCTCCATGCGCCAGTCCCAGCGAGTAAGTCCTCTTCAAGTGTTTCGATTGCTGCCATGCATGGCGGCCGTGTCAGACGTTTCACAAGTACCCCTCCGCTGCCCAACCTAACAGCTGCAGCGCCGCACCACTACGCACACAGGCCTCCCACCATCCCGCCAAATGTCTTCACTCCCCAGCCCGTCCACTCCGGTAGCGCCCAGCCAAACCAGCAGCGGAACCTCCATGATGCCAACGAGGCCAAAGCCACCCGGAAAACGGACATTGAGCGCCGGTGCCAGCAGATGCACCCTCCCATTGCTCCAAGCATATTGCGCCACATGGACGCCTTCAAGGCAGCCCATCCAGATCTCCCAGCCAATGACTGACTACGCCTGGAGCGTCTTGCAGCCTCGCCTAATTGCCAACTTGCCTGCTGCCCAACAAGCCGAAGCCGACCACGTGTCTCGCGCAGCCCTGCTTCCGACAAAGCAAACTGACCGCCGTCACCAGGATGCCAATTCCAAGGAAGCAAAAGAGGCCATGGACCGGGAATGGGAGGAGTCCCAGCGGCCCATTCGTGACAGACTCAGCGCCATTGCGGACGACTTCATCAACCGGGAGTGGGACCATGGCAAAGCTCTCACCCACGAGAACAGCCCAAAGTTTGCTGCGGACCTCCTCATGCACGTAAGGCGCGCTTACTATGAAGGCGTGAATGCTGCGGAGCCCTCTGATAGACCCCCGCTGGTGCTGGAGAACATGAAGTGGCTATATGACAACAAGCTCAAGCCGCTAACAGAACAGTACCGCCGCGAGATCTTCTTCTGCCACGGCAGCGACTGCGATCAAGCCACCCGGCCTTTTGGGTTTGAGGGTGTTGTCCAGCACTACGGAGCAAAACACACCACTGCATTCAGCAGCGGCAATATCGTCGTTGCCTGGCGGGAGGCCGAGTGGCCTGAGGAGACCCCATTCCACCCGCACCTGTCTCCGTGAAACACACCCACGCGTCGTCTAATGCACCAGCTTACGGCGGCTATTACGCCGGCCTTTCGCGAGCAGGTACATCCACTCCGCATATGCCAACTCACATGCCCCAAGCAAGCCCAGGCCCGTACCAGTATGCCGGGTACAACGGCCCCTTTGCACCTCCGCAGGCACCATACGATTACTCGCAGGTTTATGCCCCAGTCGACGGACAGCCATACCACCCGATGGGCCCTCCCGGCTATGGCCTCCACCCAGGCAATCCGTCGTACATGCCCTCTCCTGCCATGATCAACCCTGGTGTGGCCCCACCTCCAGCTATGCCGCCGCCTGGCACCGATTCCATGAATGGCAACGGGGACTTGGGTCACAGCACAGCCTCGTTCGACAAGGAGGTAAGTACCATTATTGCACTGGCCCAGGATATGTGGAAGCAGACCTCCGGGATCAAGGACATGCCCCAATAGCCTGCGGATTTATGTTTTGCTGCACCGCGTCATCTCCAAGTTCCACATCGAGTTCAACTACGAGCCAAATCTAAGCCACTTCATCGGTGCCCCTCTCTAACCACGAGATATCCAAGGCGCTGAAGAACGCCCCAGGTCTGTCTTGTAAAGCTTGCCAGCTCCAATCCACCCATCACCTCATGGGCGCGTACTACCAGAAGCCAGAGGAGCGGAAAACGTACACTGTTCTCACCCTGTTCCAGCACTTCCGTGCCCAGCATTTGTCAAGCAATCCTTCCGGCATGGGCTATGGGCAGGCGCCCGCTGCTCTGGATTGGAAAGAGGACATGATAGAACTGCCCGGTGAGCGCATCATATCAGGACTTATCCATGCTCCCGGCATGGATGATGAGAAACTGCTTATGATTGCGACTACCTTTCCGAGTTTGTTCCCCCATCCTCTTCCAACGATTGGCAAGATCGAGGACGACGGGTTGACCTCGCCTACTTCCTCGGTTCCTATGAAAGACGCGCTCCGTGCAAGTGGCACTCCGGGCGCTGCGCTGGACAGGTCCAGTGTTAACGTGCGTGGATCGCGCACTCAGTCGCCGCGGCCATCAAAGCCGGTGGACGATGAATACAACCCCGACCGTCCATCTACTGCCACAGACCGCGCAAACCAGCCGCCGAGCCTGGGGCAGGAAGCGTTCGCACCGCGATAGTCCATCAGAGTCGCGGGAACGCTACTACGGCGAACCCAGATATTATGTAAGTCGTCCAGCTCTCTCATGCAACGCACGACTAACCAACTCAGCTGGATGATGGCTACGGGCGTCCTCGAGAATACATGGAGTATGCTCCAAGCCCTCGCATGTTCCACTCTGCCCCTGTCTATGACGAATACTCTGGCCGGCGTACTGGGTTCCGCGAGGCCGATCGTTTCTACGGCCCGCCCACGGAATAAGTCATGTATGCACGTGCTCACGAAGGGCCACAACCGACAGTACAGCTCTCATGTACGCCAAGTCAGATATGCTGAGGACGACGGCCCACGCGAGTACCAACATCCGTCTGAGGGTCGACGGCAAGCCAGCGGACCCCGTGGACGGTCAGCTGCGGATCGCTTTCTTGAAGAATTCGTCCCCGAGCAGCCTGCTGTCGAAGAGCCGCCACCACGGCCAGACTCGAAGCCCGTCCGTCTCGGGTAATGAAGGCGAGGACTCTCGCTACACACCCCCACCGAATGCACCACCTCCAGAACCTGAGAGCCAGGCCCGGCTGCTTGCAGCCCCGCAGCCGGCGCCATCGACGGTCTCGAATCAATCACGATACGAAGTCCCTCCAAATGGCCGGCGCGGTCCTTCACCTGATCTCTCCCAACGCCGGGCTGGCCCCAGCGCCGCAGAGACCGCCCCCACGAACAGCGCATGCCGTCCCGCTACTACCGCTACATGAGCGTTGCGGCCCGGGATGACAACTACGGCCGCGCCCGAGCATCACCCGCTCCCAACGCAGCCGATACGAAGAACAGCGCCGGCGGATCGACGAAGCCGAAACCCCCCAGCCCACCACCGAGCGCGACCGCCCCTACGAGCCCACCTACTCGCGCGACCACAGCGTCGACCACGCCTCGCCCGAGGCGCTTCTACCCGCCCGCCCGGCC